GCATTGGCATTGAATTGGCCATGGTTGGGTATCGCATTGGCACTGCGTTGGCATAGCGCTTGGCAGTGCGTTGGTACTGCGCTTGCATGTCGCAAGCACTGCGCTGGCGGGTCCGAATGGAACCCTCCAGAAAGGGACTCAGGTTGAAACCCTCTACCAGAAGGTCTTCTATTGAAACCCTCCCCAACAAGGGTTCAGATTGTAACCCTACACAGAAGGATTCCCTGCGAAGCCCTCCGCAACAAGGAACCCGACTGTAATATATCACACATGTTTCCTCCCATTGGCATGGCACTGACATTGGGTTGGGGTCGCCTTGGCATTCGTTTGGTATTGCGTTGGCAATGTGTTGGCATTGCGCTGGCGGTTTCCAAGATCTCCCTTCGGAGGGTCATTCCTAGTGAACCCCACACAAGAAGGATTCCGATTGAAACATTCCACAAGAAGGGTTCATGTTAAACCCCTTCAACGCAGGATTCCATTCGAAGCCATCCTTCGAATGAGCCCTAGTGGGACCGACCACAAGCGATTTCCCCCAGGCATTGCATTGGCATTGACTTGGGATTGCCATGGTATTGGTTTGGCATTGCGTTGGCACTGCTTCGGCATTGCGCTGGCGAGTCCTAGTGCCTCCCTTCGCACAACGTTTCCTATTGAAACCCTCCAGAAGCAAGGTTCCAGTTAACATCTACCACAAAGGCTCCTCCCCATTGGCATTGCATTGGCATTGGATTGGGATCGCCTTGGAATTTGTTTGGCATTGCGATGGCACTGCTTCGGCATTGCGTCGGCATTGCGCTGGCGAGTCCTATGGCTCCCCTCCGCAGAAGGACTCCGACTGAACCCCCCGCAAGAAGGATTCCTAGGGACACTCTCCACAGGAAAATCCATGTCGAAACCCTCCACAGAGGCATTCCTATTGAATTCCTCCGAAGGAGGATTCGTACTGACACCGTCCACAAAGGATTCTTATTGAAATCCACCGAGCGGAAGGATTCCCCCAGTCACATTGCATTGGCATTGGCATTGGTTGGCCATGAATTGGTATCGCATAGACATGCGTTGGCCTGTTCAGGAGAGAGAGAGAGAGAGAGAGAGAGAGAAAGCGAGAGCGACAACGAGAGAGACAGAGAGAGAACACGAGATAGCGATATAACGAGAGAAGCATTTTATGCGGGGGTCACGGCGAACAGAACAATTACGAAAACATCAAAGTTCGCATATGAAGAGGCGTTCTACTATATGGAAGCTATAACAAAACAACGTGCGACTCCACAATCCCACATCCTCATATTTTCTCTCTTCTGCTGTGTTGTGTTCGGTTATGTTCTGTGTTCGTATGGTCTGTTCTCCTTTCTTGTATTGTGCTTGCTTCTGGTCGCTAAGATATTATAACACATATTACTCTCTTCCATGTCGATCCTACTCTGTCATACTCCTGCTCTAAATGGACCGTTGCACTTTATACTAGTTACCCTGGTCCTACACGCATCATATCGAGGGCCCGACTCTGACTATCCTGCTCTATCCTGCCCTATCGCCGGCCAGATGAATTTCGGGCGCGTGTGCCCCGATGTTCGTGTTGTTTGTTCTGCGGCGGCGGGTGCTAAGATAACGCCACGGTGCGGGTTGGGGGCGGTGCCCTGGGATGGACCACCCCCTAGGACAATCGACACTCATCAATGTCCCATTGCGGGTCGCAATAGGAATCTCATTGGACGGGGAGGAAGATATCTTTAGACATTTCAGTCTCCAACGTTGTGTTTCGCATTGCCCCTCTCACAGTCTCTCTGGTCTACTCTATTATATTATATTGTATTATATTGTACTCTGTTTTGGTACTCCCTGCGCTCGTCTATTATATTATGTTTTTTTCTTGCCACTGTGATCTCATAATCCATCCGACCCCTATCATGTTCTCTCTCTCCCTCTCTCTTCTGTTTTATCATATTCTATTCTATCCATACTATAATATGTTCTGGTTGCTGCTTACTGCGCGTGTCTCATCAATTTAACTCTCTCCCATGCCAATCCTTCTCTGTTAGACTTCTCTCCTAAGTATGCCATTCTACGTTGTAGAATTTACTCTAGTCCTACACGCGTCATATCAAAGGCCCGCTTATATCTGTCATGTGCTATCCTACCCCATCGTGGGCTGGATGCTGTTTATGTGTTTGTTTGTGTTCCATGTGTGTGTGTGCCCCGATTTGTTTTGTGGTGGCGGGTGCTAAGATAGCGCCGCGGTGGGGGGGGTCGGGGGCGATGCCCTGGGATGGACCACCCTCTAGGACAGCAGAACAACTTCAATCTCCTATTGCGGATTGCGATATGAATCGTATAGGACGAGGAGGAGACTTTTAAACATTTCAGTTTTCAGCCTGGCGTTGTGTGTTCACCTTATCCCTCCTCGCCTCGTTCTCTTTCTCTGTCTCTTCTGCCTGAATATGTATTATTCCCTACTCTACTTTACGGGTTCCCGTCGTATGCGGCTCTCTGCTTCTCTGGTCACTATTATACGCATCCTTATGCTTCCTTTCCAGATATTCCTACTCTGTTGTATTGCTACTCTCTGCCATTCTATGTCACTCTATTCTAGTCCGACATGGACCATACATCATCAGTGAAACTTCAAGTGAACCGTCCTGGAAATCCCTAGAAGCCTTTTTCGGGCCTTCTCAGGTTGCCTTTGTGCCCCTGCCCTCGGGCCCTCGGCCTTGCAAGGCGCATCTCCCCCATGGGGTCCTCCTCCAGAGGTCTTCGCAGGAACTTCGCGCTAGAGCGCTGCGGGCGAAGGCGTGGCTTTGAAAAGGACGCGCAGAATCGCAGCACAGCAGCAGCACCGCAGCGAACCCTCGAAGTCGTTTCGGGCTTTCTCGGGTTGCCCCTGTGCCCCCCCCCTCGGGCCCTCGGCCTTGCAAGGCGCATCTCCCCCATGGAGCCCCCCTCCAGAAGGCCTCTCAGGAACTTCGCGCTAGAGCGCTGCAGGCGAAGGCATGTTTTTTTGAAAAGGAAGCGTAGAGCCGCAGCGCAGCAGCAGCGCCGCAGCGCAACCTCGGCGCACAGCAACGCGACGCAGCAGCGCAGCGCAGCAACGGCACAGAAGGCAGCCCCTCAGAGATCTCCCCTCAGAAAGGCCCCCATTCGGAAAGGTGTCCCCTCAGCGAGGTCCCCTTCGGAAGCGACACAACAATGCAGTGGCAGCGCAGGCTCAAGCTTCCTGTTTCAGGCTTCGCAGACCTGCAACGATGCTCGCCCCCTCGCTCGCTGTCGAGGCCGTGGCGGTGGCCCTCAGCCTGTGCTTGGCTCAGGGCTGGGACCACGTGCAGCTCTACGTCTGTTGCATTCAGGTCGGCCTACTGGGGATCAGCGCCTACATCCTCTACGGCGTCTGTCAGTAGGTGCAGGCCATGCAGGGCGCCCAGCAGTGCGATTCGGAGATGGTGTCAGGGATCCGCCAGCGGCTCAGCTTCGTCGAATTGCGGCTCCTGTTCGCCGAATTCAGCCCCTACGAATGCAGTCGGCAGATGAAGCAGGCAATCGTGGAGTGGGGTCAGACCCAGGACCCCTCATGCGCGCCCAGGTAGATCCTTCAGCTGTGCGCGAAGAACACCGGGAACTTCTTTCAGCGCGCGAAGACGTCAGTTGCGTCAGCCCAACTCTCTGCCATCATCGAGTTCGCGATCCAGGAGTCAGGTGCGGACGCGCCGACGATCCACGCCCTCGGGCAGCAGCTGACGACGCAATGGCACCAGGAGTTCCCCGGCCTCGGCGGTGGGTACGATCAGAACGCGCAGGTCTCAGCCGTGGCTGCGCAGTCCCCAGTCGAGCAGCAGGTCGACTTCTTCGCCCTCAGGGCGTGAAGTGAGCCTGACCTCAGGGCCGCCAGGGTTGTCAGGGCCACTCAGGCCCCGCAGGGCTGTCTGCGCAGGGCCTCAGGGGGAGCAAGGATGAGTCAGAGTGCGAGGGAGGAGGAGACGCACAGCAAGGGGCAGGATTCGGCCTTGTTCTCTCAGACCCAGGATTTGTCTATTTACAGAGCTCAGAAATCTTTCTCAGTGGGGGACAGTGCTCAGTTCCAGCGCTCGGCCACTTCTAAGATTTTTTCGACGGCCAGTTCTCAGCGCCGATTTTTGTTCAGCGCAAGTCTGCATCACCGTTCAGAGCCACGCCTCAGGGCGAGCTGGAGAGCAAAGTCTACCTCTAGCTCCTCAGGTCAACTCTCAGCGCAGAAGGCTCATCGCACCCAGCTCAGCCTCGAGCAGCCGCCTCAGTGCGAGTTGGGAGCATAGAGGAGGGCCCAGCGTTCGCGCGATGTCAGCGCTCAGCTTTCAGCTCTCGGTGAACACATCGATTCAGTCCTGGTCAGAGTTAACCACACTCAGACTCACTCAGCCCAGACTTGTCCCTCTCAGACGCATTCGCTCTCAGGCGCACTCGCGCTTAGGTTCAGGCCCCACTCAGGCACCCAACCATAATTAAATTCAGACGCGCTCGAACCCGCTCGCACTGCTTCCATCTGCTTTCCTCCAAGCCCTTCTCAGCGCCTCTCTTTGTCTTCTCACATGCTCCTTTCTTCTTTTGGATTGCGGTGCTAAGCTAAAGCTATCGCCTTGCTGAACTGGGGCCTCGTTTTTTGTTTTGTTGTGTTTGAACAAGAAAACGGTACTAACGATAACCCCGGGGGTTCTTGATAGCCGGGTAGGAATACTGGTGATGGTTTTGTTGATGATGACGATGGTAATGAGAACGGGTAGGAGGATGAGGAGGAAGAGGAGGTGGAACAGGGAGAGGAGAAGGAGGATGAGGAGGAGGAGGAGGAGGAGCAGGACAAGGAAGAGAAGGAGGAGGAAGAGGAGAAGGAGGAGGAGGAGGAGGAGGAGGAGGAGGAGTTGGAGGAGGTGGAGGACGACGAGGGGAAGGAATGGGAGGGGAGGAAGGAGGAGGACGACGAGGACAACGAGGACGAGGAGGTCGAGGAGGAGGAGCAGCTCCCCACGCACCTTGCCCTCCTCCTCCTCCGCCTCCTCTTCCTCATCTCCTCCTCCTCCTCCTCCGCCTCCTCCTCCTCCTCCTCCTCCTCCTCCCAATGGGGTTGCCAACCTCACTCCCCTGGCGGTGCTGGCTGACCCGCATCTCTCAGTGCACGGCGCCAGGACCAGCCCATGGCCGGGCTGGGCCCACTGCTGGAGGGGCTCCGGCCCGTTGCCGAAATGGGCCGCGGGGGCCCCGCGGCCGAGGCGCCAAGCCGGCGCCGCCCGAGCGGACGGCGGCGGCGAGGGACGCAAACTGGGGAGGGAAAAACGGGGAGCTGGGAGAGCGCACGCGAGAGCACGGTATTGGGGCGCAGAAGGACATATATACTAGTAATGCGGGATGACGATAAATAAAACAAATGGGAGAGAACGATTAAAACATAGTTTTCTGCTATTTCAGCAACATTCTCTGACTGGAGGAGAAAACGATAACCAAATAATTTTCCAGCCCGCGGCCGGTTTTTTCTAATCGTCATCCCGGGCGCCGCCGCGTGAACACGACCCCCTGTCATTTATCAATCGTCATCCTCCAGTACTGCATGTCCTCCTCGGAGGCGTGAGTCCGACCCGAACATGTAGTTTTCCCATCTTGTAGTGTGTGGTTTTCCCGAGCGGCGTGGCCAGAAAGCGCCCGCCACGATGCAGACACTATAAGATTTCTCGGTGCGCGCGTCGCCCCTGGGGGGCGACGCACACACAATGTCAGTATGCTGGGGTGGCGCCGAGATATGGCCGATTCCGGAGACTATGGGGAACATCCCGGAGGCCTCGCGCGCCGCGTAATAGTTGTATTACCTAGTCCACACGACTGTGGGTCGACGCTTGCGCGGCGATGCTCCAGCGTCAGTCCGACGTAAATCCGACACAGATCCGACGTAGTCCGACGTGAACCCGACGTGGAACCGACGCACATCGGGTCTCAAGTTGGCGCGCGAGGCCTCCAGGATTCTCTTCGTAAGGGTGAGCACGCGCGCGGGCACGGATGTGGCCGCTTCCGGATCGAATCGGAATCGGAAGCAATCGAAATCGAATCGACTCGAATCGGAGGAATCGAAACGAGCCCTGGAGAAGCCCCGAACCCAAGCACACTGTCTTCTCTCCTTCCGCCGAGGACGAGGTGACAACTCCTTCGCTCCTCGAAGGCGAGGCCCTCTCTGGAACGCCCCGTATGTGAAGGGGCCCTGGGACACACAAATAAATACACACAAATAAAAGGATTCCCCACATTTTCTGGGTTTTTGTCTTCCCCCCCCACTTCCCATGTTTTTTCAATATTTTCTAGGGAATCGAGGATTAATTGTGTCTGTGTGTATCTTTTCCTCCTGAGTATGACGGTTTGGGTCGTGACGACTCGCGCGCGGTCTCTGACACCGCGCGGACCCTTCCACCTTGAGCGACCACGGCTTCGCGACTGCGCGCGTCGCTCGACATCCGCCGAGCCTGGGCCACTGGCAGCGCTCAACCTTTGACGACCGCGCTGGGGTCGCCACCGTGCCATCTTGGCGCGGGCCTGCTGCATGCTGGCCACGCGGTGCCGTCGCTGCCGGTGGCGGTCCCCGAAGGGAAGGCCGGCAGGAGGGCTGTGCTGCGCTCCTGGCACCGGCGCGTCAGGCCCCGCATGGCTCGGAGGCACTGGCGAAACACCGGTTGGGCAGAGGAAGGACGGCGAAGGGCGGCCTTCAGACACGCACCCTCGCTCCGAAACCAGAGGCAGGACATCGGTGGGGCAGAGGAAGGACGGCGAAGGAGCGAAGGACGGCCTTCGGGCTCGCACCCTCGCTCCGAAACAAAGAGGCAGGACATAACTGCGACCTCCCTCAGAGGCCCCCGTGCGCTCGGCGGCGGGCCTCTGCCCGAGTGCCGAGGCTGGAGCGGGGCAGGAGGAGGAGGAGGAGGAGGAGGAGGAGGAGGAGGAGGAGGAGGAGGAGGAGGAGGAGGAGGAGGAGGGGGGGGGGGGAGGAGGAGGAGGAGGAGGAGAGGAGAGGAGGAGGAGGAGGAGGAGGAGGAGGAGGAGGAGGAGGAGGGAGGAGGAGGGAGCGGGGCAGGACGCAGCTCCGCCAAAGCCCTCGAGCTTGGCGGTGCGGGCGCGCGGGCTGGGCGGAAGGCGGGGGCTGCGACACGGCTGTACACGTGGCGGGCCGGCAACGGGGGGGTGCCCTGAGAGCGTTGCTCATCACGTGCCCTGCCCCCCTTGCGAAATTGTCAAAGGTCGACATTTTCGTCCCGTTGGTTTCGGTATCTGCCTCTCCGCCTCCCCCTGCTCCTCCTCCTACTCTTCCTCGTCCTCCTCGTCGTCCTCCCCCATGTTCCTGGTATGTCTCGTCCTCCTCCTCCTCCTCTGTCCTCCTCTTCGCTACGTTTTCCTTATGGATTGCCTTTCCTCGTCCGGCCACCAGACGTATCGGTTGGGCGTGCCGTGCGTTTCGCTCAGAACTTGTCCTTCGTCATCACTCCCGAATCCCAAACTGGAAATTTCCAACAATTATGCGCGAAGGGGGGGGGACGTTTTCAAAATGTGGCTCCCGTTGAAGCGCAATACGCGTTCGTATTAAACGCTCCCGACTGTTATACGCATGAAAGGGGACCGTTTTCACTGTGTGGTTTTCGCATTGGGTGCCGCGCGCGCTCGTTTTACAAATTCTCAAGAAGCCCTCGGATGGGCACGGAACCGTTTTCAAAATGCGGTTTCCGCTCTCTCCTCATAGCCGCGCGCGTGTACAAGGTTCTGGTAGGCGATCGGATTCAGTGCGAGTTTAAACATGTGGCTCTCGCTCGAGCGACGCGCGCACCCGCCACCGTTTGTAACAGCTGCGCGGATGGAAGGTGGCTCCTTTTTCACAATCGGATTTTGACATTGGGGTTCTTTCGTTCAGCCGCCGAAGTTGCCATGCGGCAGCGCGCACGGAAGGCCGTTCATTGTTGGATGTGGGCTCTCGTTTGATGGGGCCTTGGAGTGTTTGTCCACACGTTGGGGGTTGGAGACATGTTGCATTGTTTGGTGCGTGTGTGTCCTTTTGTGTGAATGTATGTATACATGCATGCATGCCTGTATGTATGCGTGCGCGTGTTTTGCCGTGGCTGGAAAACGCCATCTGCTTCTCGGCGTGCTCGGCGCACGCGAAGGCAACGCTTCGCTTAACTTGGGCCTCGAAAGCGCAATCGGGACCTGAGACCGCGCTTCCACAAATTTCTTATATCGGCGGGCGGTGACTCTCACGCGCGCAACGACAACCTGCCCAGGCGGGGCGCAAACATAATATCTCCCTCGTCGCACTGCGGGCAAACAAAACATATTCAACGCAAGCGGCGCGTTTCAAACAGGCGGGCCATTTGTCAAGCAACAATCCCGAGGGAAAAGGGGGCCCAGCGGGGACCCACGGCGCCTCGACGAAACCGAACCTGTCCCCCTAACAAGATTGCCAAGCCAACTTCCATGCGAAGGCAGCGCGAATAATGTCGGAGGGAATCAAGATCAACGCCGTTGCCAGCGGTAGCGCGGCCACAGACTGAACCTGCCGATTGCGCGTGGAGTCTGGCCGACACATCCAAGGAAGTTGTCGACGAGCGTGACGGGGCAACGCCGCGTGGCGTGCGTCGAGGCATCTGTAAATATGGCTTTGAAGGTAGAGCTCGTTATCAGATGTGATCGCAGCCCATTTAAAAGTAACAGTTGCGATCGCAACGGACAAGGGCATCGTGATTCTGTTCGGGAAAGGGTGCGGGCGCAGAGGGAGTTATGCAACGGGGTCTTCGGAGGCTGGAGAACAGCTCGAGGTCCTGCCGCCATGCAACCCCCCAAAAAAATATCGTTCCGAGGAAAAACGACGGGTGCCAGCCCGAGAGACACCTGCGCGCCACGCGATCAACACCTACCCTGGCCAGGTCTAGGCCCGGGATCTCTCGCGTGAAATCCTGGGTGTTAAATATATACCTGAGGGGGTCGGCCTGCGCGTCGGCGTTGGCGTCGGTCAGCCCAGTGCCACTGCCAACGGACTGCAGATTCGTGCCAACAATCTGAAATGGCTGTGCGTGGGCCAGCGGGCTCGCTCTACGTGCCTTGACAAGAAGTTAATCACGCGGGTGAAAGCTGCAAGCGGAATGACATATTCGGCGAGCGCATGACCTGCAACAGAATTGCCGATAAAGCGAACACTTGACCAAGCTGCCCAGCGAGGTGAACGCGCGCGTGAATGGCCGGCGCAATGCTACCCCGGGACGGCGATGGGCGTCGGAGCGAAGGAGGGGCTCAGAGGTGGACGGCCAACGCGAGGGCGCGGAACTTGGCAAGTGGTCCGCCGATTTCAGCCAGCACTCTAGAGACGCGCAGACTCAGCTGGTATCTGCTGAAAACCAAAAGGAGTTTGGCAATTTCAGCTAACAACATGACTGCAGCAAGCGCGCGGTCAAGGGCGTCCATGACATTCGCAAGCCCGAAAATAATTTCCCCTGCATCTGCCGGGGTCGCATCGATGCGCTTGTAGCAAAGCTTGCGCAGTTGCCTCAGCGGCGGGCCAACTGCCAGGACAGCGGGCCAGCCCAAAAGGAGGGAGGTTAGCGGGGGGGGGGGGGGCGGGGCGGCGGAGGAGGAGGACCAGTGCGCGCCCAGAAATCATCAACGATGTCAAAATAACCGCCTCCTCCAAGCTCCATCTTCACCGGCCCCGCGCAACGGCTCATTGCCACCGGGGGGCTGCCATGCTGGAAGGCACAACTGATGAAGCAAACGCGAACAAAACGCCCTGAAACGTGCCGACGCATGTGTGCTCGGGGCTCCAACGCCGCGGGCGAAACCTGACTGTTGCGCCCTGGTGATCCGGAATCGCGACAGAGCGCCACCCCTGTAAATGCAACGCCGCGAATCAACGAAATCACAGCGCCGTGATAACCCTGAATCTTTCTTCTAATGATCTCTGGGCGTCGACCGCGGGGGCCCGCGGGCCTCTTGCGGCGCGCGAAGCGAACGCGCGCGGCGCTCAGGCGAATGCCGTATTTTGAATGCAGCTCTTGTAATTTAGCTATGGCGAATGCTTGCGGCGCCGGGGCGAGGGCCGCAGCCTGGAAACCGCCCGCCCTCAATCCGCGAACGCGCCCGGCGCTGGGGCGAGATCCAACCCATTAGACTTCGGGGTCGCGAGCGGAGGGGAAGTCTCGGGCGGGCGCCCGGCCCGCCTCGGCGACGAGCCTCGGGGCTGACGGGGGCGAAATATCACTGAGGAAGCGGAATGAAGGATGGGGGCGGGAGAGGAGGAGGAGGGCGAGGAGGATGAGGAAATGGGGGGATGAGGAGGGGGGGGGGGGAGGAGCGGGAGAAGGAGGGGGCGGAGGAGAAGGAGGAGCAGGCGGAGGAGGAGGGCGAGGGGGAGGCGGAGGAGGGGGAGAGGAGGGAGAAGAGGCGGATGGGGGAGGCGGGCGGAGGACGAGGGAGAGGAGGGCGGCCAATATGGGGCGCGGGCGCGCGCCCCCGCCAAAACTCCAGCATCGCCGCTGCGCCCGCGGGGGCGACGTGCTCCCAGAGGGAGCTCGCGCGCGTGACTGCCCTGAGCGCGTCGGGCCAGTCCTTCGGGCGCTTGGAGACTCCGCGCGGCGCCGCGCGCTCATTCGCTCTCGCGGTGGCGAACTCGCGATGGCCGCGGCGCCTGCGGCCGCCGCAGAGATTGCGCCGCGGTTTTCCGCCCGTGAATCTCGCGCGATCGCCCCGCCAGCAGAGCGCGCTCTGCGCGCCCGTCTCTGCGGGCGCGCGCAGGGCGGCGCAGATGGCACGGGGGGGGCCAATCAAACCTTCGGCAAATATGTGTCGGAGGACGTCGCGCGCGTTTCGTGGTCGCGCGAACTGTTCTGGAAGCTCCAGTGGCAAACTGTTCGGCGCGCCCTCCACGCGCTTCGCGGCCCCGCCCCCCCCCCCCCTGCGGGGGCTGACATCGCCCCCGGCGCCCAATGTTGCGCCCGCGGGGGGTCTGAGATGCACCCGGCGGGGCCAGGGGGAACCCGCGAGGCGCAAGATGAACCCGGGCGGGGCCGAGGCGAGCCCGCGCCGGGCCTCGGGCGAACCCGGGGGGGGGGGCGGGGCCTGACATTCACCCGCGGGGGCCTGAGATGCATTCGCGCGGGCCGAGGATGAACCGGCGGGGGCCCGAGTGCCCGCGGCCGGGGAGGCCGCGACAATCCCGCGGGGGCCTGGGGCGAAACCGCGAACCCGCGGGGGGGGGGCGGGGGGGCGTCCGCGATGGCGTGGGATTCGCCAATGGGGGCCCAAAATAAACCTGCGGGGGCCTGGGGCGCGCCGGCCCCCCTGCGTTCTTCAAGCCGTCGCCCGGCGCCCGCCGCCCGTGCTTCCGCCTCGCCCGAGGCTGGCCGCGCCCCCCCCGCCCGCGCGGGTGGGTGCGAGCGCGCTGGGTAGATCAGCCCTGAACATGTGGCATTGGTTTTGAAATGTGTTTGAGACGTCCGGCGCGGGCTGGGGCAAGTTTGAGATTGGTTTGCAAGAGGCGCGGGGGCCCAGTTGCCCCTCCTCGCAAACCGCCCGAATATCTATTGGGGGGGGGCCCGCGAGGCCCCCCCCGCATTGCCCCCGGGCCTGTGAGATTTGCCCAGGCCAAGAACTTGCACTTTCAGACAGCGGCGGCTCTTAAATTGCGGGGCGCGGCAACGCTTGGCCCCGACTGCGGAGCGACGACGCGGCGCTTCCTGTCGCGCAAAGCCATGCGCCGCCAGACGCAAACGAGACAAACCGACACTTGGCCTTCTACGTGCAGAAAACTTGTAAAACAAACAACTCACATGGGCGATGGTGAGGCCCACGGCCCGCGCAACTGCGGATAGGATGGAAGGGGCCGCTGCGGCCCGGGCGCGCGCGCGCTCCGAACTGCGAAACTCAGGGTTCCAAGCCCGTCGCGGGCGATCTGGGGCGGCGCCCTGTTTGGCGCGGCGCCCCTAATGCGCCTGCATCGCGCCGCTCAGGCGCGGGTTGCAATTCTCTCGGTGAATCTTATCTTCGCAGAGGCCTTCGCACCGGCAACGCTGCGCGACCGTCGGGGGCGGGGAAAGGGAGCGGGGGTGCGATGAGGGGGGGGGGGGGGGAGTCGAGGTTCCCATGCGGCCAAGCGGCCTTTCGCGCGGCCAGGTAGGCTTTAGCGCGGCCGAGGCCCCTGGAATATACGAGTCCTCCAGAGAACGGTGAAGGCC